CATTTCATATCATCACTCCAGTAAAGAAGCAAATTACTATGTGGGTTGCATATGAATGCTGCTCTGTTGGAACCACAAAGAGCCTGCAATCAAAGGGAAATCATTTGCAACCGCATTCTACACTGCTCCAAGGTGGGCATAAATCAGCAGTGAACGGGGAATTACCAGCATTGTATACAAACCAACAAACAATGCTACAGTGGGCTTTGAGAGGGGGTCCGATCTAAATTCTGCTCCAGCAAATGGGCAACAAGGAATGTCTATGTGCATTGCGTCTGAACTCTGCTCTGTTGGGACCACAAAGAGCGTGAAACCAATGGGAAATCAATTGCAATACATTCTACGCTGCTCCAGGTTTGGCATAAATTAGCAGCGAAGAGGAATTACTTGCATTGTACGCAAGCAATGCTCAAGTGGGCTTCAGCATGCAACACATTTTCATTTCAGAACATCGCTCCAGTAAAGAAGCGAATAACTATGTGGGCTGCATATGAATGCTGCTGGGTTGGGACCACAAAGAGCCTGAAATCAAAGAGGAAATCATTTGCATCCACATTCTACACTGCTCCAAGGTGGGCAAAAATCAGCAGGGAAGGGGCATTACTGGCATTGTATACAAACAATATTACAGTGGGCTTGACTGCACAACACATCATTAGCATTTCAAATACAGAAAATACTGGATCCAGTAAAGAAGCCAATCACAATGTGTGCATTGCCTATGAACTCTGCTCTGTTGGGACCACAAAGAGCATATGTGCAAGGGGAAATCATTCACAATGCATGCTACACTGCTCCAGGGTTGGGCATAGAAATGAGCAGGGAAGAAGAATTACTGGCATTGTACACAAGCAATGCTCAAGTGAGCTTAAAAAGACCACACATCATTCGCATTTCAGAGCCTGCAATCAAAGGGGAAATCATTTGCAACCACATTTTACATTGCTCCAAGGTGGGCATAAATCAGCAGTGAACAGGGAATTATCAGCATTGTATACAAGCCAAAAAAACAATGCTACAGTCAGGGGCGGACTGACAACTCATGGGGCCCCCCGGGCAATAGGGGATCATGGGGCCCCTGTGTCCTTGCCCAAACTCAAAAAAGCCTATGAAAAAGGTACCAGGGGCATCTAATGGGGCCCCCTACTGACCCCAGGACCTCAGGCAGTGCCCGAGTTTCCTAATGGTCAGTCCGCCCCTGGCTACAGTGGGCTTTGGGAGGGGGTCCTATCTAAATGCTGCTCCAACAAATGGGCAGCAAGGAATGTCTGTGTGCATTGCGTCTGAACTCTGCTCTGCTGGGACCACAAAGAGGTTGAAACCAATGGGAAATCAATCGCATGGCATTCTATGCTCCTCCAGATTGGGCATAAATCAGCAGCGAAGGGGAATTACTGGCATTGCTCAAGTGGGCTTCTACATACAACACATCATTTTCATTTATTAACATCGCTTCAGTAAAGAAGCGAATCACTATGTGGGTTGCATACGAATGCTGCTCTGCTGGGACCACAAAGAGCCTGCAATCAACTGGAAATGATTTCCAACCACATTCTACACTGCTGCAAAGTGGGCATAAAAGAGCAGGGAACGTGGAATTACCAGCATTGTATACAAACAGACAATGCTACATTGGGCTTTGGGAGGGGGTCCTATCTAAAAGCTGATCCAGCAAATGGGCAGTAAGGAATCTCTATGTGCACTGCATCTGAACTCTGCTCTGTTGAGACCACAAAGAGCGTGAAACCATAGAGAAATCAATCGCAATGAAGTCTACACAGCTCGAGGCCTTTAATCCGGAGAGCGGAGGCTCTCTGTAGATCTTTCTCACAAGAGATCAGAGAGTGAAATCTTTGCTAAGTCTTCCATCTCTGCAGAAAGAACTCCTTGAAACCGGTGACCTGCAGGGTAAGCTCAAGAAGTGGGTTAAAGAGTCTGAGACTCTGAAGAAGCAGCGTTGCGTTGCCCCGCCCTGCTCCAACAAAGCTTGTTGCAGCCACAATAGTCCACAATCAGTGGTGTATTTAGGTTTTGTGCTGCCGTAGGCAGCACAAAAATCGGATGCCCCCTCCCTCCCTGGCAGAGAGAGCCTGACACGGACCAACACCAATTGTCGCTGTTGGAGTTTGGACATTTGTGAGGGTGGACAGGGTGGGTAGAAGAAGGTGAGGGTGTTCTCAGTAGGTCAAGTGTAAACAGGAGAACGCGATCATACCCTATATCCTTGGGAATATATCTAGAACTGCATATACAGTGAAGGATTTGATCCCCTGCTGAGTTTGAATGTTTGCCCACTCAGAAAGAAATCATCAGTCTAAAAATCGAATGGTAGGTGTACTGTAACACTGAGACAGAATAGCAACAAAAAAATTCAAAAGAAATGCATGTCTAACAAATTATGCACTGATTTGTATGTTCATGTATGTTCATTAGGGAAATAAGTATTTGGTCCCCTATCATTCAGCAGGATTTCTGGCTACCAGGTGTCTTTCATACAGGTAACAAGCTGAGATTAGAAGCAGTCTCTTAAAGGGAGTGCTGCTAATCTCATTTTGTTACCTGTATAAAAGACACCTGTCCACAGGAGCAATCAAACAATCAGATTCCAAACTCTCCACCATGGCAAAGACCAAAGAGCTGTCCAAGGATGTCAGGAACAAGATTGTAGACCTACAATCAAAAGGAAACGAAGAGAAAGTCAGAGGGGGAACACACTAGAATGTCATTCGGATTGCGAGGTGGAGATCAGCCAAATAGACCTATAAATAATGAGTATAATAGAACAAAATATGACGGAAAATCAGGTAGCTTTATCTCAAATGCCAACTAAAAAGGAGATGGAAAAAATGTTCGCAAAGTTAGAATGCTCTATTAAAAATGAAATGGCGGTGATTCATAAGGACTTGGGTTGAATGTTCTCTAGAGTGGAAGAAATAGAGGCCCAAGTGCAGGGGACTATAAATTTGTTCTTTTTCCATCTCTTTTACTCACTTTTACAGAGGAAGTTATCATATAAACTGGAAGACCAAGAGAATAGAGAAAGGAAAAATAAATTGAGGATCTGGGGCCTACCAGAGGATACAAGAGAAAAGAATTTGTTGGGAAAAATAAAAAGTGTACTTAACCCCCTATTAGGAAGAACAGACACAGACCCTCTAAAACTGGAGAGAGTACATAGAATTAGACGTCCTCTGGGAGTCTTGTCAGAATCTCCAAGAGATGTGATTGTGCGTATTCATAATTATGAACAAAGCGAGAATATGGAAAAAACTGCATGATGTCACTGAACTTGCAAATTTTTGCGGACGTAGCTCCTGAGACTTTATCCAGAAGAAGACTACTGAAACCATTATTGGATCAGATGAAAGAGAAAGGAGTTCGGTATAAGTGGGGGATCCCGGCCTGTCTGATCAGGTGGAGAAATGGGAAATCGGCAAGATTGAGATTCCCGGAGGATTTAAGAGACAAATGTGAAAAATTAGAATTGCAGTATGTGGATATAGTGGGGTGGTCAGAGGGGACCAATGTGAGGCCAATTAGAAGTGAGGAATGGCAGCAAGTAAATAAAAAAAAAGTAGTTGGATGGGGGGCTCGGGGATGGGGGGTAGGTGGAATGAGTCCATAAGTTGAATAGTGTGAGTTCCCCTACCTATAAATGGAAATGCAGATTTAAAAAGAGAAATAGATATTAGACATGAGTCTGATTAACATTTTAACTTCTAATGTGAAAGGTCTAAATTCTCTGACTAAAAGACATAAGATACTTAGGGAAGTCCACCAACATTTTACAGACATGGCCTTTCTATAAGAGACACATCTCTCTTATGATACCAATATTAAATTATATTCAAAGTATTACACAACCTGGTACTATGTGGACTCACCAATAAAGAGGGCCAAGAGAGTGGCAACAGGATTTGCAAAAAACATAAGCTTCAAGGTTGAAGAACAATTGGTGGATCCAGAGGGTAGGTCTTTATGATTAAGAGGGAAATTGCAGGGGCAAAAATATACATTGGTAAATATTTATTGCCCAAATAAGAATCCAGAGGATTTCCTTATAAATCTAATGGGGAAAATTATGGAATTTAAGAGAGGAAGCTTAATCGTTGCAGAAGACTTTAATTGCTGTTTGGACCGACGGATGCACAGAGTGAGAGAGGGGAAAAAATTATGACAGTTGAGAAAAAGGATAACATCAAAATCAATAGATACGTGGAGAGTAAAACACCCCAGAGATAGGGACTATACCTTCTTCTCTTCTGCGCACAGATCGCATTCACGATTGGATTACGTATTGATAGAACATAGGCATTTGGAATGCTCGGTGAAACCTAATATAGAGGTTATGCCCATATCTGACCACGCTCCTGTAACAGTTAGACTACAATTGGGAGGAGAGGGAAATAAGAGGGCCATGTGGAGATTACATGAGACACTTATTCATGATCCTGATATAGAAACTAGGCTAAGGGAAGAATTAGAACAATTCTTTATTATGAATCAAACAAGGGAATTATCAGTGGTGACTACAAGGGAGGTTCATAAGGTCTATATGAGGGGAATTTTGATTGCTGCAGGAAAAAAAACCACACAAACAAAAAAGAGATCGAGAATAGAAGCTAAAAGGGGTAATCAAAGATTTATATAAATTAGAACAGGCACATAAAGCAGGATTCAGATTTATATGGGAAGATTATTCTTAAAAGAGAAGAATTGAAGGACCTAATTGAACAGGAAACAAGGAAAGTCTTTAACTAGCTGCCGACCGCAGATAGCCAAATGACGGCTGCACTGCGGCCGGCCAGTTCTGAGTGGACGTCATATGACGTCCTCCCAGAACGCGCTCTCCTGCACGCCCCAGGGGGCGCGCACCCGGCGATCTCTGTGATCACTGTGTCCTACGGACACAGCTGATCACGTGATGTGGTAAATGGCCAATCACAGCGGCCTTTTGCCACGTGATCAGCGGTGTCCAATGACACGCGGATCAGAGGGAAATGCAAGTGCCGGTTCTCGGCTGCACTTTCCTCACGCTGTCAGATCGTGAGGAAAGTACTGCCGAGAACCGGCAGTTGTCAGAGCGGGGATCGGCACCGATCATCAGGGCACTGATGATCAGTGCCCTGATGATCGGTGCCCTGATGATCGGTGCCCAGCAGTGCACCCGCAAGTTCCGCCCACCTGTGCCCAGCAGATCACCCACATGTGCCCAGCAGTGCACCCACCTGTGCCCAGCAGTGCACCCACCTGTGCCACTCTGCAGTGTCACACACCTGTGCCCAGAAGTGCCACCTACCTGTGCCCACCCACCTGTGCCCACCAGTGCCACCCACCTGTGCCCACCCACCAGTGCTGCCCACCAGTGCCACCCACCAGTGCTGCCAGTCAGTGCCACCAGTCAGTGCCCAGGGGTTGTGCCAGTCAGTGCCGCCAGTCAGTGCCCAGCAGTGTTGCCAGTCAGTGCCGTCTATCAGTACCCATAATCAGTGTCACCTATCAGTGCCGCCTATCAGTGCTGCATATTAGTGCCGCCTATCCGTGACACCTCATTAGTGCTGTCTATCAGTGCCGCCTATCCGTGCCACCTCATTAGTACTGCCTATCAGTGCCCTTTAGTGCTGCCTATCAGTGCCCATTAGTGCCGCCTATCAGTGCCCATCAGTGCTGCCTCATCAACGCACATCAGTGAAGGAGAAAAAATACCTGTTTGAAAAATTTTATAATAGAAACAAAGAAACTTTTTTTTTTCAAATTTTTTGCAATTTTTTTATTTATAGCGTAAAAAGTAAAGCGCCCAGTGGTGATTAAATACCACCAAAAGAAAACTCTATTTGTGAGAAAAAAATGATCAAAATTTCATATGGGTACAATGTTGCATGACCGCGCAATTGTCAATCAAAGTGCGGCAGCGCTGAAAGCTGAAAATTGGCCTGGTAAATAAGGGGGTATAAGTGCCTGGTAGGGAAGTGGTTAATAGAGTCTCAAAGGAAAGATACCAGTGGTATAGAGACTGAAGGAAAAGAAATAAAAAAAATTATATAAAAAAAATTAAAGATGAAAACGGGGAGTTGGTCTATTCCACCACTGGTATCGTCGATGTCTTCCAAAAGTTTTATAGTAAACTGTATGAGGTGAACTACATAAATCTAAAAATCAGAGGAAGAGATGAGGAAGAGAAGGCAAGACGTTTTAACTGCAGCAGATTTACCAAAAATAGAAAAAGAGAAGTTAATATCCTTAGAACGAGCCATCTCCCAAGATGAAATTAGGATGGCTCTGAAGAAGACGGCAGGGGGAAAGAGCCCAGGCCCTGATTGTTATACGGTGGGATATTCTAAAAAATTTAAAGAGTTATTGGTCCCTAAACTTTGTAGATATGTGAATGCGCTGGGGGAAGGAATGGAAATGAGGAGAATCATTGAACGCACATATAACAATCATTCTCAAAGAAGGGAATGATAGCTCACAATATAATAGCTACAGACCCATTTCATTACTAAATACTGATACCAAATTGTTCGCAAAAGTATTAGCTACCAGGTTGAAGGAACTGATGCCGGAATGGGTACATTTAGACCAGGTAGGCTTTGTGCCAGGGAGGGAAGGAAGAGATAATGGACATTACTCCTTCTACAAAAAGCAAAGAGAGGTAGGCAGTCGACAATAATCCTGTTGATAGATGCAGAAAAAGCCTTCGATAGGGGGATTGGGGCTGGGTGGTATATGTTAAATACACTGGAGATCCTGGGAATAGGGGAAAAATGTTGAAATGGATAAAAGGGCTTTACAGCGGTGAAGGTTAACGGGACCGTCTGGGACTTTTAGAAGCATAATGAAACTAGACAGGGATACCCACTATCTCAGTTATTGTTTGTATTATCCCTGGAACCTGTTTTGGCAGCAGTAAGAAAGAACATAGATATTACAGGAATTAAGATAGGGGAGGTGGAACACAAGGTAGCTGCACATGCAGACGGCATGCTGTTTTATATAGTGAACCCTAGAGTTGCGCTACCGAACTTAATGGCACTGTTGAAACAGTATGGAGAGTTATCCAATTTAAAAATCAACCTTACAAAATCTGAGATTGAATATTAATGTGTCGAAGGTAGAAAGTAAGAACTTACAAGAAGAATTTCCATTTGCATGGAGGAAAAGAGATTTAAATCTGGGAATAAAACTAACCCCCCGCAATAAAAGGACCTATACCAGGTTAATTATATCCCACTAATAAATGGAATTAAAGAGGAGCTGAGAAGACTTTGAGGAGGGTGGGCCTCATGGTTTGGACAGAGAAATCTGGTGAAGATGGTAATAGTCCCAAAAATCATGTATAAGTTTCAGATGCTCCCTATAAATTTACCGGATCCTTTTTTAGGATAATAAAAAAATTCATATCGAGGTTTATATGGGCTAACAAGAAACCAAGAATTACATATGAAACCTTATGCTATCATAAAGAGAAGGGAGGACTAAATTTGCCAAATATGAGGAGGTATCAGTGTTATTATCACGGGTGATGGACTGGACACAAAATTCACAAGAAAAAGTTGGGTTAAATAGGAAGGTATATTAAGTAAAACACAGTTGGAGAGGATCATTTAGATCCCATGAGAGTTTCGGGCACTGGGCAAAAGTAGTAGCACATTGACACGGGAAGTATTGAGTGTTTGGGATGGTTTACACATGTCTATGGGATGGAAAGAGAATTCATTACTGTTGCCGTTGGTGGATACAGTATTTTTTTTCCCCCAGGGAGGGGAAACGTCTCGGGAAAATGGTTTAAGGACAGAAATGCACGTTTGGGAGATATAGTAGACAAAAGGGAAGTTATGCACTTTTCAAGAATTAAAGAAAAAAGGGATTTGTTTTCTGTTTTAGATTAATTGAGATATTGTCAATTGGGACATTTTGACTCAACACTCCCTCAGCCGCTGAGGACGGTGGGGAACATACTCCCATTAGAAAAACTGTTGAGCTCTAAGACTGGCTGTGAACATATAATATCCAGGATTTATAAGATGCTGGCTGAACTAGCGGGAACTGGGCCAAGTCGTTCTTGGAGAGGTGGGAAGGAGAATAGGGTACAAAAATGAATGATCGACAGAAGAGGAAAATGTTTAAGTTAATGCATGGGGTGATGAACACGAATATAGTTGGTATTGTACACTGAGTGTGGCACATAAACAGCGAGAAGTAGAATCACCTTTATGTTGGAGAGGATGTGGGGTAATGGGAACAATAGCTCACATATGGTCGGAGTGCCCAAAAATTCAGGTATTTTGGCAAGAGATAATTCATCATATACAGGAGATTTGTGGGACATCCATCCAGAAGGATCAATGGGTGTGTCTTTTCAATAAAACAGAGACGTCAGTAAAACTTAAAACTTAAATTAGCAGTGAAGGGGAATTATTGGCATTGTATACAAACCAAGAAACAGTGCTACATTGGGCTTTGAGAGCGGATCCTATCTAAAAGCTGATCCAGCAAATGGGTAGCAAGGAATCTCTATGTGCACTGCATCTGAACTCTGCTCTGTTGGTACCACAAAGAGCATGAAACCAATGGGAAATCAATCGCAATGAAGTCTACACTGCTCAAGGGCTTTATTCCAGAGAGCAGAGGCTCTCTGTAGATCTTTCCAACAAGAGATCAGAAAGTGAAAACCTTGCTCAGTTTTCCATCTCTGCAGAAAGAACTCCTTGAAACCGGTGACCTGCAGGGTAAGCTCAAGATGTGGGTTAAAGGGCCTGAGACTCTGAAGAAGCAGTGCTGCATTGCCCCGCTCCAACAAAGCTCCTTGCAGCCACAATAGCCCACAACCCAGGAGTTCACTCGCTGCTAGAGACTTCAGAGCAAACCAGAACATCTCTCTTAAATCCCAGAACGCTGCTCCAGGCTGGGCATAAATTAGCAGGGAAGGGGAACTATTGGCATTGTATACAAAATGCTACAGCGGGCTTGATTGCACAACACATCATTAGCATTTCTTATACAGAAAATACCGGCTCCAGTAAAGAAGTAAAATCACTATGTGCATTGCCTATTAACTCTGCTCTGCAGGGACCACAAAGAGCATTTGTGCAAGGGGAAATCATTTGCAATGCATTCTGCACTGCTCCAGGGTGGGCATAAAAATGAGCAGGGAAAGGGAATTACCAGCATTGTACACAAGCAATGCTCCAGTGGGCTTAAAAAGACCACGTTATTCGCATTTCATATCATCGTTCCAGAAAAAAAAGCAAATCACTATGTGGGCTGCATATGAATGCTGCTCTGTTGGGATCACAAAGAGCCTAAAATCAAAGGGAAATCATTTGCAACCGCATTCTACACTGCTCTAAGGTGGGCATAAATGAGCAGCGAACAGGGAATTACCAGCATTGTATACAAACCAAGAAGCAATGCTACAGTGGGCTTTGGGAGGGGGTCCTATCTAAATGCTGCTCCAACAAATGGGGAGCGAGGAATGTCTATGTGCATTGCGTCTGAACTCTGCTCTGTTGGGACCACAAAGAGCATATGGGCAAGGGGAAATCATTTGCAATGCATTCTGCACTGCTCCAGGCTGGGCATAAATCAGCAGTGAAGGGGAATTACTGGCATTGTATACAAACAATGCTATAGTGGGCTCGATTGCGCAACACATCATTAGCATTTCATATACAGAAAACTCCGGCTCTAGTAAAGAAGCCAATAACTATCTGCATTGCTTATGAACTCTGCTCTGTTGGGACCACAAAGAGCATATGCGTAAGGGGAAATCATTCGCAATGCATTGTACACTGCTCCAGGGCGGGCATAGAAATGAGCAGCAAAGGGAAATTACCGGCATTGTACACAAGCAATGCTCAAGTGGGCTTCTGCATACTACACATCATCCTCATTTCATATCATCACTCCAGTAAAGAAGCAAATCACTATGTGGGCTGCATATGAAAGCTGTTCTATTGGGACCACAAAGAGCCTGCAATCAATGGGAAATCATTTGCAACTGCATTCTACACTGCTCCAAGGTGGGCATAAATCAGCAGTGAATGGGGAATTACCAGCATTGTATACAAACCAACAAACAATGCTACAGTGGGCTTTGAGAGGGGGTCCTATCTAAATGCTGGTCCAGCAAATGGGCAACAAGGAATGTTTATGTGCATTGCGTCTGAACTCTGCTCTGTTGGGACCACAAGGAGCATGAAACATATTGGGAAATCAATCACAATGCATTCTACGCTGCTCCAGGCTGGGTATAAATCAGCAGCAAAGGGGAATTACTGGCATTGTATACAAATCAACAGATAATGCTACAGTGGGCTTTGGGAGGGGGTCCTATCTAAATGCTGCTCCAACAAATGGGCAGCAAAGAATGTGCACTGCATCTGCACTCGGCTCTTTTTGGACTACAGAGTGGGAAACCAAAAATGGGAAATCAATTACGATGCATTCTACACTGTTTGAGGCCTTTACTGCCAGATAGCAGAGGCTCTC